CCATATTGCACCAGGCCTTCCTGTCCTTCACTGCCTCCCTGAGTTTGCTCAGTTTCATGCAGGGTTGTGTTACTGTAGGACCAGAACAAAAACTAAAATTGATTTAATTTATATTTAAATTTAACTAAAATATAGTTAATATGTTACATGTACAATAGTTTTCTTCTCATGTCACTTTAAAGATTACAATTTGGTAATAATTTCTGCTAATCTCTGGGGGCATATTCAAGACATTTGAAAGCCACATATGACCCTTGGGCCTTAGACTGCACATACTTCGGGTTTAGTAAGTTTGCCATGTTGTCTAACTGTTACTATTTCAAGCAATACATACAAACTCCAGTTTAGCAATGTAGGGTGGAAAATGCCCATAAGCCAGGAGCAACTAGAGCTGTGCAAATCATTTGGGTGATTTCCTCGTGCCATGGCTGCCAGCATAGTACCACTCCTCAAAGAGTTATGGGAGCTACATCCTCCATGGCTTGGTACAGCTGCTTTGAAGGACTTCCAGGACTCAGCAGAACTTGAAAGGCTCTTGAAGCCATCACCTTCAAAATGCTTGTATGACTGGTAGCTTCAGTGCTTAAATGAAGCATGTGTGTGTTTTCATTTCTACCTTGTTGATTTTTTTAGAAAAGGATTAAATGTCAAGATGGTCAATAGGTTGAAGCTTAGTTGATTAATCTGACAACTAACAGCATTCAGATTTAGCCAAGTAATCATTAAAACTAAACATTAAACCTTTATGTAGTTACTTGTTTGAAATTTGTTAGAAATATAATACTGCTTAAATTTAAAGAATCACTAACTCTACAGAGAAAGTCCAGATTTATTTATTTATTTATTGTCCTCAAATATGAAGATATGCTACAACCAAAACAGGATCAAAGCAAACAAAAAGTGTTTAACTTTTAACCCTATTAATTAAACATTTTCCTCAGCAGTATAATTACAAATAGCTTTAAGTATTTTCATATAATTTGACTTTTGACATTATAAAAATAGAAGTCTTAAATAGTTAATTTTGTGAAAACTTTTTTGTGCAACTTTTTCAAATATCACAGAAGTTTGTCATGTTTGTTCTTCCTGGCCTATTTTAACCATGGTGAGATAAGTCTTGGTGTTGTCATTGATTTTGGACATCAGGAAATAGAGGAATGGATCAAGACAACTATTCAAGCTGCTTAGACACAAAGCAATCAGATAAAAGAAATATAAATTATCTTTAGAACTATAATAATAATTCAGATGATGAGCAATCAGTATAACATTGCTGGGAGTATAACAAATAGCAAAAATGCTAAGGATAAGAAGACTGACTTTGATGTACCAGAACCACTTTTGGTCATAAGCCTTGAGTGTTCGAATAATTGAAATGTAACAAAAAATAACAATGCAAAGGGGAATCATGAATCCAAATACTGCAAGAAAGATGAAGTAGTAGTGTTGGAAAGGAAGCATAGTTTCACAAACATTAAAAACATCATGGCAGGTAATGATATTTAGCTGGTCCAGACGATAGCTTTGTTTCATTATTATCAGAGGCAACATGTATAAAAAAACAACCGTCCACACCATTCCACAAGTTAGAGTAGCTAAGAATTGCTTAGGCAGAGTCCTGAAGGTAAACGGGTGAACAATGGCCATGTAACGGCTGATGCTGATACAAGTGAGAAGCAGGGTGGAGCAATACGTATTTCCATAGAAGACAGCAGTCATGATTCGACACATTGCTTCTCCGAATATCCAGTTATTGCCATTCAGGTGGTATGCAATTTTGAATGGCAGCATTATACAGAAAAGGAAATCTGAAATAGCCAGATTTGTGTAGAATACAGCAGTACGGACTGATCTGATTCTGAAAAATAGCATCCACAGTATAACGGCATTGGCTGGTATTCCTATTAAGACAACAGCTATGTATATAGCTGGTAACATCTTCATGCTCAGTGAGCTAGTAAAGTATTCCATGGTGATGTTATTTACTTTCAGTGATGACACATTGGATTGCTCCATAGGACATTTTTCTTTTTTGTGATTGGACTTTGGCAGCCCATCTGTGGCAGAAATAGGTATCGGCTCATACGTGTCTTGTGGAGTGCCGTAAAAAGTCTTAATGGGGTGTGATTTATCATGTGGAAAGTTCAAGCTGCTGTTGCCACATTTGCTTTCTAAAAATTGAAAAAGAAAAATGGAAATGTAGACTGTACAACAGAAATGAGCAGTGATTTTTAAAAGATATTTTCCCTACAAAGAAAATATATTCCACAAGTAGTGACAAGAGTGACATTTCTAAGTTAGTTGGTTTAAGAAAGAAAAAAAAAAGTGGAAAAGTACCCTGTTTATCAAATAAGCTTTGTTTGCTCTGTGTATTATGTTGGGGAATAAAAATAGTTCTGTTTAGGATTACAACTTTAGACTATTCAAATGCTATTTAAGATAATAGAAGGTTTTACTCTTTTCTCCAGAACTTCACATCAGGTCTTCCTTTTATAGCAGGTATGAGTAACCTGCTGTAGTTCAGGAAAGCTTATGCCTTTTAATAAAATTTGTTAATTTGAAAATGAAAGACAGGGAAAAAAGGAGAATGGGCTTCCCAGTGTTCCAAGTCTATGCCATCTTTGGTGCTGGATGGGGTAGCACTGCCCCAAACAGACCCAGTGCGTAATCTGGGGGTCCTCCTGGACTCACGGCTCCTGCTCAAAGAGCAGGTGGCAGCTGTGGCTAGGAGGGCCTTGTTTGTTTGTTTGTTTGTTAAATTTCTCCCCGCCCATCTCCTCCCAATGGGGGACTCTGGGCGGCTCACGCAAAACATTAAAACCATAAATATATATAAATACATAAAACATGAACATTTAAACAAAACATTACTAAAAAAGGGGAAAGTCCAAGAAGATGATGGATCTGGGGCTGAAGACAGCAGGCGTCTATGGGGCTAGCCATTCCCACGCTTGATGTATTCCCTCCCCACCCCTGGCCAAGTGGCAGAACCAGGTCTTCAAAGCCCTCTGGAAGGCTAGAAGTGAGGGGGCCAATCTCACCTCCAGAGGCAGAATGTTCCAAAGGCTACCGCAGAGAAGGCCCGCCTTCTGGACCCCGCTAATCGGAGTTCTTTTACCGAGGGGGTCCGAAGCATGCACTCTCTCTGTGGTTGGGTGGGACAGGTTGAAGTCATGGGGAAGAGGCGGTCCCTTAGGGAACCTGGTCCCATGCCGTGTAGGGCTTTAAAGGTGATAACTAACACCTTGAATTGGACCTGGAAGCAAACTGGTACCCAATGCAGCTCACAGAACAACGGCGTTCTGTGGACCCTTCTTGGGGCTCCCAAAATAGCCCACGTGGCTGCATTCTGGACCAACTGGACTTTGTGTGCCAGTTGCACCCATTCCTAGATTGGAGGGCTCTGCTCACAGTCCTGGTCACCTCCAGATTGGACTACTGTAATGCACTCTACATGGGGCTGCACTTGAAGAGTATCTGGAAGCTTCAACTGATGCAGAATGCAGCGGCACAGGCAGTTATGTGTGCTTTCAGAACAGCACTTGTCACACCTCTGCTCTGTGAGCTGCGTTGGTTGCCAGTTTGCTTCTGGGTCCAATTCAAGGTATTGGTTTTAAGCGTTAAAGCCTTTCATGGCTTGGGACCGGGTTACCTGAGGGACCACCTCTCCCCAATTACATCTGCCTGTCCCATTAGATCTGGCAGAGAAGGCATGCTGTGGGTCCTGTCTGCTAGAGACTTATACTTGGTGGGTCCCAGGAGGTGGGCCTTCTCTGCCATGATGCCCACCTTATGGAACATTCTCCCCCCCAAAGTGAAGTTAGTTCCATCCCTGTTAATGTTCTGGAAGTCCCTCAAGTCCTGGCTGTGTCATCAGGGCTGGGGATCCCAGGGAACCAGTGACATTCTAAGATGGCTCCATCGTTGTGGTTAATATTCACTCTCTCCTGTGCCTTGTGGTGGTATATTTTAATAATGACTGATATTTTTAATAGGGATTGTTTTTATATATTTACTGTTTTACTCAATTGTTATATATCACCCAGAGTCACTTTTTGTGAGATGGGTGGCTATCTAAATTTAATTAAGTAAAGTAATGCTGCTCTCCTCCTACAATAGTTAGATAGCTTGGCAGTTCTGATAAGCATTCAGGAGTGAAGTTATAGAGATTGGTTAATCAGTAATAACATAAATTACTGTATTAGTGCAAGTAATAGGCTCCTTTATTATTACCTACCATTCGTTTATTTCATTTGTATTCTATTTTCTAAGCAGCTCAAGAAAAGGGATATGCACCCTTCTCAGCTCAATCACTATACAGTAATTACTATGAAAGCTGCATATGATGGCAGTCGTTCTTAACTTCTTAATTCCATCAGCAGAAAACAGTTACCAAGTTTAATTCATACTAAATAGAATAGTAGTGAAGTACTTTGTTTATTGTCATCAGTGCCTATACTTTGTATTAATTTTACAGTGTGGAGTTTCCTGTTTGACTTACATTAATGCCCACAGATTGATCAGTCCGTCTGTCTGTCTGTCTGTCTACTTACCTATCCACCTATTGTCTATAGCAGGCAAGAGCAACCTACTACTCTGAGCTTGGTTTCAAAAGTTTTTGGCATGAGATTTCAGTCCACTGTTAAGAGTTACTTGCCCTTTCTCTAAGTCCACTACTCTGGAGTGAGAGAAGAGGGGCTAGAGAAAGGCAATGAAAGACAGGGAAAAAAGGATGAGAATGGGCTTCCAAATGTCCCTGCAGTTCCCCATGGATTATCCCAGAGGGAATGTAGCCCTTTCTAAGCAAAAAAAAAAAAAAAAAAAAGTTGCCCAGCCCTGTGTAATAGCAGTGTTGCTCAAATGGAGGTAAACATTAAAAAAAAAAATCTTTAAAACCACACTTATTTAATAAATCGCTGAAGCACTTAAGAACAAAAGGTATGTTTTTTTCTTTCCAAGAGTATTTACTTTTAAATGATTCATTGCTAATCTGTGTGTAATAGGACATAACACTAAATGGTAATGCAATAATGCTTTCCATCCAAGTGTTGTGAATGAAAAAGCATTAATTTGAAAAGGAAATCCATCTGACTTGCAATCTTATTTAATAACCTATTCGTGCCTGTATGCTCTCTCTCTCTCTATAAATGACCTAATTGCTAACAAAATAAAAGCAGCCAAGTACTGAGACACAACAACACAGATATCCTACCTTTCCGGCACAAACAGGAGGACAGAAGGAACAGTCCAGTTGTCAATAGGAGCCAAGTTTTCATTGTAGCAATGATCAAATCTTAATGTTCTAGAATGGGCATTTCAATTTGTATAGTCTTGCTTAATCCCCATTTTAGTGAAAAATGCTCAAAGCATCAAGCTTATTTACTGAACTCATCCTGTATGTAGTAATCTTGCAGAAAACAGCTAATTTGTTCTTTTTCTTGTAGTGAGAAGGGTGTGATGCATCAGAATGCGGAAGTGAGCATGACTCTTAAACTTCTAATCAACAGACAAGAATTAACCCTTGAACTACTATTAGTAGAGAGAGGAATAATTATTTTGTACAAATTGTGACTGAATTTACAAACGTTTGTTTACATTTTACAGTGTCTCCTTAATTGTAGGCTTTGTATAGGAACATAGAGTAGAGCTACCAGATCTGAAGGGCAAAAACATACAAAAACTTTGCTGCTCTCTTGTGGTTGACTGGATTTTTACAGCCCAGATTTGGTAACCCTAATCTATAAGTGGAAAGGGAAGTCATAGCTAGAGTCACATAACATTATCTAGGAAGCAAACATTATATTTTAACAATATTGTATAAGTCTGGGAGAATGAACTACATAATAACCTGAAATATAAAAATAACTTTATGGGATTTTTAATAAGGAATTTGTTCTTGGTACAAAGAAGGAATAGACTATTAAAAGAGGATGCCTGCTTCTGTGGACTGTGGGTGGCATCCATTGGTGACACATCCTTGACAGTGGAGCTGTATGCCAGTCCAGGAGCTGAACATAAATTATCCTCTGATAAGAAAACTAAAATATGAAAATAAAGACACAATTACTCTTCCCTTTGGGAAACTACTGTCTTAGTACCAAAATTGCTTTAATTTTGGAGTCATCTTGTTTACCGTGACTTTCTGTAGGATAGTTCTGCCTTTCTTTTCCATTCTCCTTGTGCTGCTTTTTGTCAGGGCTGATTGTGGCCAACTACCTTACTTAACTGCTTCCTTTCAGTTGCAAGAATCTTGAAGCTACAAGCTAACTTTTCACATGGTATTTGATTCAGCTTCATGTATATATAATTCTGATGTTTTTCAGTGGGAATACATTTTAAATCCACATGCTTGCTGTTTACATTATTAAAGTACCACACAATCCATGATTTACATAGGTTCAAATATAGAAGCAGAAAATTAGAATTTTAAAGACTGAATACAACTTTCAATTATGGTTTTAAGAGCAAAGTATTAACACATCAGATTCATACATCTCACCTGGTACTGTAATGATTAGTGTGTCTCACACAAACCAAAAACATAGACATTGTACTAGACATTCTGTACAACAGAGATAATTCAAGGTAAGTTGGGTTGAGAATTAATAGGTATCTGGGAAGGAAGGGAAGAGGAGAATGCCTAAAATTTAGTAATATTTACCATTAGTCCTCATCAGGCCTATAATTTTCATAAGACAAATCCATACCTAGTAACCTCTTTTTAGAATAGCTTAATAATCCTGGGATATTTTGGTTGACCAAGTTAAGTTTTCAAAAATTTTAATTTTTAGTTGCATCTTTGTTTTAATCAGGAATCTCATGATGATTCATCGGTGCTTTGGCTAGATGAGATACAGAAAGGAATTGATGACGCTAACAGAAACTTGGAAGAGGCATCAAAATGTAAGAACTCATTTGAATCCTTACATTAAGCCCTGCATCTTTTGCAGTCACTACTAGATTCATTATTGACTTTAATATGCAGTCTCAAATTATTCTATTTTGGGAATATATTTTGGTAACTTGATTGTATGAAAGGATAGAACTTAATATGCAACATCTTGCAACAGACATGAGCTTCTAAAATGGTTTCACAATTTCACTTCAATGACCTTCTGAATTTGAGGATTAGGCAATCAGTGACTATTAGTATTATGACTATTTGCATCCTACAAGCAATGTGTGCTTCTCACCAGTGGTTGCTACAGAATGTGGGTGGAAAGCTCATTTTGCATTTAAATCTTAAGGGCTTCCCGTAGCCATCTACTTGGCCACCTTACGAACAGGAAGCTGGATCAAATGTATGTTTATCATATCTAGGCTGCAAAAATCTGGATGAATGCCAGATGGCAGCAAAAAGATACAGAAAACTTTAATTTTTTGCTGTCATCTAATTAGTCTTCAGGATTTTGCAGCCCAGATTTGATAGCCCCAGTCAAATGGGTCTTTGGGAAACTGTATTAAATAGATCAAAAAGAACTAAAAAAAATGGGTCTTTAGGATCCCAGATATATTACTGATCAATTGGGAGCTGAACAAAAGCAAATGTTTTGTTGGTGGATTCCAACAAGAAACTGGGAACCACTAAATTATCCACTGAGTATGTAGAAGTATGTCAGTTCCTTATTAAACAGGCAGATACTTGTTAGGCATCTTGTTCAGCATTAATTAAAATGCCTGTTACACTTGGCATTGATGTCATTGAGTTCATTATAATATTCTTGCATAAACTGGAGGAGTCTACCTTTTATTTGTAAGTGGATTAATTGAATGCAGCCTTTCACCTTTTTACACAAAGAATGTGGGTCTGCCACCATCATACAGATTATAAGTATTTGCTGTGATAGAGAGAACCTTCAGAGAAGCTTCATGAAATGGTTTTAAATCGTGCCACAATATGAGAATTGCAGACTGTTATTAAGTGGACTGTATCTGGTCTGCAAAAATCCAAATGATGATTTGATGGTGGCCAAGAAGTACTATTCTCTATCTTTGCTGTTTTCTAGAAAGAAAAGACTTTAAGCAATTTTGTATTTTTAAAATACACCAATTTAAATATCATGGTGGCTGGCAGATCTTTGTATACCTTTGTATAAAAAGGTGAAAGGGTGTATTATAATGAGCAATAGAGATATGAATCCAGTACTTAATACGTGAAGACAGCAACTCATTCTGCTGATCTTTGCTGGGAAATGGAGGCGTGGACTTTGAAACTAAATATTTATATTCTTAGGGAACTTTGTTCCCACTGTTCCAAGCCAAATACACTCCCAAGATGTTGCATTCTGGAATGTAAACAACCTGTAATTACTTTGTGTCTCAACCTTTTTCTATGCAATCTTATAAAATGGTCATCAGAAATTAAGAGGACTTCTTGAGTGGGGAGGAAGAAGAGCAAATATCAAATCCAACATTAAAAATTAAAAATAAGCTGCCAAAATTTGAGTCTTTTTGTCTCATTAAGAGAAGAATGAGAAAATCTTAAGCTAAAGCAAGCACTAGAGACTTTTCAATAGCTTATACTACTTTAGAATGGAAGCATGAGGGATTTCAGGGTTGCAACTGCTCCCCTCCCCCTTCCCGCTTAGACAAGTATTGCTTCATCTAGAAAACCAGCACAACTGGGAGGAGTCTGGAGAGGATGCCCTATCTTGACTAATTCTCTTTTCAGTGTGTGAAGGAGTAATTAATACTGCTTGTCACCTACATTCTGGTAGAGTTCAAGAGAGGCTGTGTACCATATGGTGCTTCTTAAGTATGTAGATCAGAAATGCCAAACTTAAGGTCCTAGGACTGCATGTGGTCACTTGAAAATCTGGGATGTATTCCCCAGAACCCCTCCAATAGTTTCCATGTATTATAATTGTTTAATGTGACAGAAGGGCAAAATGATTGAATAACTGGAAAGTAATTGCATTAACTATATTTAATTATAATGTATATTAAAAGAAATTAAATATAGCTTTTATCATAGTCCATTTCTTTGTCTTCAGAAAAAAGTTGCATAATCCTAGTTTGTACCGTAAATTTGGCCAAACAAGATCTTTATTCAAGGGTCATTTCATTGTTATATGCAGTTTCTTCCATGGGAATTTATGTCCCAGATTTTTGGCAGTCTTTAATAAACCCATGGTTTAATACACCCATACACGTTAATACACATAACATGTTCCCATTTAATTTTATATGTGCAAATTAGATTTGTAATAAAAGCAAATTACTTTTGGAAACTAATGTGCAAATTTAAACCTTCTCATTGGTTGACATTTAATTTGAGTAGAAAGTTATTCAACTATACCACCAGCTTATATGAAGCTATAATTTTTGTTTTGTGTGAAAGTTAGATTTACTAGGTAAAATCAGAATTAGTATAGATACTATGATAAGCAGTTTATTTTTACTTGGATTGTAAGATAAAAAAACTAGTACTTGTGTCAAATTTGAGATAGGTTGCTTTGCTTCCCACCAACATGATAAGGCCTTTTAAAGATAAAGATTATGAACAGTGTGATTTGGGACAAGAATAAAGAACAAATGTCTATCAACAATATTATGGTATTTGTACACTGCTTATTCTTAAAACATTACTTGCTTTGCTGTAGGTCATCTCTGCTTCACAGTACAGGTAGTTCTCGATCTATGACCATTCAGTGATTGTTCAACGTTACTATGACACTGAACAAATGGTAGTTACAACCAGCCCTTGGAGTTCTGGCCATCACAGCACTCCCGCAGTCACGTGATCACAATCTGGGTGCTTGGCAACCCATTCACACTTATGACTGGTTGCCAAGCACCCCATGGTCACATGAGTGCCATTTGCAACCTTCACCAGAAAGACATCCCCAGAAAGTCAATGGGGAAGCTGGCAGGGGAGGTTGCAAGTCACTGGGATAAATCTCCCCCACCCATTCACCCTCCCTCATCCCCTCTGTGCTCACACCACGCCAGCCACTTGCATGCCCTCCCTGACCCTTACCACACCCCCGCACACCTCCCTGACCTACGCCACACCCCCACGCAGTGCTTCTCATGCACCCTCCCTGACCCTTGCCATGGCACGTGTCTCACACACCTTCCCTGACCCTCCCCTGGAACCCCTGTGCACCCCCTCACTCCCTCACCCCACCCAGCAACAGCCACTTACCTTTTAACAACAATTCAGTTAATGATGGCAGCCAGGGCTGCAGAGACTGCCAATGCTAAGTGATGTGGTCATGCATTATGACCGCATCACTTAGCAATGGAAATTCCGGTCCCAATTGCCATCGTAAGTTGAGGACTACCTGTAAGTTAGTACCATTGCTTCTCTATAAAACAAGGGCAGACAACCTTTAGTATTGGGGGGGGGAGTGAGGAAAGCAATGTGTGTGGGGCTATATCACACAGGTAGGATTAATTTGCACATAATTAATATGCCTATTTTGGGGCTTACATTACAGTTGTCATTTATTTTCCACTGTAACTTATTGAGACCCTGTCCTGAGTTTTCAGCTGTCCTGATTAGAGGGGCCACAGAAAGAATTTGAGATCCGTGGGTGGCCTTGGGATTGCAGGTTGCCCATTTTTTCTGTAAGATATTATGGGAAATGTGCAATACTAATACTTCTTTGATTCTACTCTTTAGTGGCTATTGGGATATGTATGATAAACCAGTGTTTAGAAAAAGATGACTCTGCACCAATCATTGGAATTTTACAGTCACCTAATTTCAATCTGAGAGCTGTTCCAGAGTGTGCTGATATCTACTATGAAAGTTTACAGGAAGCTAAAAATTTAAAAACCAAAGGTATTGTTGTCTATGCCATTTTACACAGCACAGAAAATATATAAAACTCCTGAGGCACTCCAGCACTCTACTTCTTTAAATATTTCATTAAACATTTGTTAGAGATAGATCATGTATTTGCTCGTCCTTGAAACTATTAAACTGAGTCCAGGAATAAGACTCAAAATATTTCTTGAAGTTGTTCTGGATGCTTTGATTTAGTGAGTGTCAAATGGTAATTAGGCATAGTTTGTTCCTTTGAAGTCCTGATCTAAGCTGAAAATTAAAGTTATCTTCCACATGCCTCAGGAGCTATTCCCATTTGAACTCTCTTTCAGAATGGCTGCTTCTGGTTTGGTAGTTCTGGTATTCCACAATCCCATTTGTTTTTTTCTACTCATTTTCACTCCTGCAATATTGCCCACAAATGGCATATGTTTACGTGCTTTCTGTATGAAAGATATTAGAATTATGATCCCATGGTGGAGGAACTGTTCTTGCTGTTTAAACAGGAACTGCGTTATTGGGTCAAATCAGTGAGTCACTAAGCCCAACATCCTGTTTCTTTCTGTGACTGGTTTGCTTCCCATGAAGCATCTGGGGCAAGTAGTGGAAAGCAGTAATGCAAACCAGCTCTTACTTTCAAGTCATCTCAACTCTCAAAGTATGCATGGGATGTGAGCCCATATGAAATGCATTTAGCAACTTTGAGGTAAATTCTTTTGCACTTGCTTTGTACAGGAAGAATGCACGTATCCATGCAGATACACACACAGAAATGCCTTATTTTTGATACTGGATAAGGCCTTTATCTATATGTTGTACATTTATCTCTTCTCTCAAAAGGCCCCTTTGTGGAAGCTTTGTGACATACCATTGGTCAACATGGACCCTACTCCCAATTTTTGGGACCAGAGACCTAGTTCTTCATTTTGTCTTATCAATTTATGGAGTGGATCCAGTTTTCTTGTACCAAGAAAAAATATTTCATACATTGTGTACTTTTTTGTTGAAGTAGTATAAGGTAGAGACTTAAAATACATCTATGTGTTTCACCAACATGTAACCAATAAAAATATTGCTTTTGACATGTTTAGATCCTGATGAAGGCCCATGGATTAAATTTTTAATTCAAGGTAGCTATGATTATTATTTCAATGAAGAAAGTAGAGAGGGTACATGTGTTCCCCCTGAAGGAATTGTCCCCAAAACTTCCTGGCTCACTGGGGAAGAGATTCAGGTAAGATGTTGTAGAAGCAATAGTTGTTATTATTAGGGATAAGAGGCAGAGGGGGTGTTAGTGAATACCGGAGTGATCAAAGGATGAAATGCAGCACAAATAGAATCATGTATCAGTACATAATTTCTATAGGATTTGAAATAAGATTTCTATTTATATTTCATGTTAGTATATTTAATCTTAATGGCACATGTTATATTTTGTGAACAATTAACAAGTAAAAAGAAATTCCGTTGTTACTACTGTAGGCTTCCACAGGAAAAAAGAGAGTCAATGTGGTGCAGTGGTTGTTGGTCTAACAGTGAGGAAACTCAAGTTCAAGTCCATCCTCAGCCTCAGAAACTAATTTGGTTACTTTGGGCTAGTGATTCAGTGTCAGACCACCCTACCACAGGATTGGCTGGTGTGGGTCTTCCGGGCTGTGTGGCCATTCTGGAAGTTTTGTTTCCTAAAATTTTTCAGGATTGGGATCCCCTCACTGCCGCAGAAGTATACCACATACAATGCAGTGGCGGAAAAGTATACATCGGGACCAAAAAACGCAGCATCCATACCAGGATAAAAGAACACGAAAGACACTGCAGA